TGTAGCTTAGCGTTTATGTATATTTCAAGCATATCCCATAGGTTGTAAAGTAATTCGAGTTGGCATGCATTGGTGACTGGGGATGCCTAATTGAAAGTCTCTCCACTTAGAACAAAAGGTAGATTTACAGGGTGGGAGCCATGTGGTGTGTTGTTTATCAAAGGATGTTGTTTTTTGAAAGAAAGGAAATATATATATGAGTTAATAAGTAACAGCAATTATTGATATATTAGTCTGCACCTGCCTTGGGGATTGGAAATGTGACTCTCTGACGTGGTGATAGTATGCTTTGAACTGAGAGGCCAGGCAGGTCCACAGTGGTCTCAGATGTTCCATGTCCTGCTCATATGCAGTCCCCGACTGCCCTGTCAGAAACAGGGATACTTCCAAACTCTGTCCGTTTCAAGCTCTTGTTCAATAGAAAAGGAGCCTTCTATTTCTTGCAATGTTCGGGGACCCGTTAGGTGCATTGCAATAAAAGCCCATCGGGGCTTGCTCCATTGCTTTGGGAAATGGGGTACAGTGTGGTCGATCTGCAAACTTCCCCCGCCCCCCTACAAACGTACACAAACCAAATTCCCGGGTGTTGCTTAAAAAAACTCAGCATGGAACGGTGTAGATGTTTTTAATCAACCTGCTCAGACGCATTGGGACGAGGGCTAGGGCTTGAACCCAGATCTTCTGGCTCAGAGATAGGGACACTACCACTGCACCACAAGAGCAAAAACTAAGGTAGATGGAGCCAACTCCCCTAAGTCTGGCTGTTGAAGATTCCCTGGGGACAAAGGGGAAAGTGAACCTCTTGATACGTTTGTGAGTTTGGGCTGAACATTGACACAATGTGGGGGGAGGTGGAGGAAAACTGATTCGGAAATTTGGCAGAGGCTGTGAAGGGGAAGACGCTTACGACGAGCAAGCCAGAGAAATCAAGTGCGTGGCTTGGCCCATCGAGCTTGGGAATGAATAGTTTTTCTTCACTGTGGCTACTGACACGTTTACAGTTGCTGGAAATCCCCGAGGCAAGTCTTGTCCATTGAGTTCAACACACAGAAAAAAAATACCCGTGACTACAGATCAAGTTTAAGCGTGTGCAAAGAGAAACGGGTTGGTAAAATAGGTTTTAGGGGCGAGTGAACCTTTTTTTTTAAAAGGCACAAGGTGTAACAGGGGAGGGTAAGATGTGGATTAAGCAACACTTTGTAACATAAGTCAACACACAAAAGATAGCACACACACACACGAGACGGTTGCACTGCGTGGTTTTTTTGGCGTTGTGTTTCTTTTCTCTGCACACTTTTTTTAAAATAAAGACTTTTTTTTCTAATTTTCGCAAGGAAATGCATTGCCTGGGGTGGGAAGCAGATTCCGGAATAATTTGGTTGCACCGAAGAGGAGGAAAGATCAAGATGAGTGGGGGTTAATTTTTGGATAGGCTGAATGGTTTATTTGTTTCACATCTACGGTTGGGGTGCAGCTCCTGATGCTGAGCTGCCCAGCTATCCCTTGGCTAACCCTAAACCCCCGTTTCCCCTGCAGCCTTGAAGAAATGAAGCTTGATCGCCCTGAACATGTTTACAAGCAACCGCCAGTGTAAAATATGCTTACTTCATTAAAAGTGTGTGCTTAGAACGGTGATTATATACGCCTGTCCATAATATATTTAACATATATTTAAAGAGCGTTGAAGTTTTTTGAAAAGGCTATTTGACTGGGGGAGGCAGCACGTCATGTGAAGAAACTTTTAGGAACCCGTCCAATCAGAGCTGGTGATTGCTGGTTCGCATCCAACTCGGAGGAGGTCAGATTAGGAACGCGAACAGCTACCGCCCGAAATTGCGGAGGCCGGAAAAGCTTGCTGCGGATACGGTGTACAGGGTTTTGGGGGGGCGGATGGGGGTCATCTGTCTGGGTCAGCCGCCTTTTCCCTTTCTCACCTTCCGAATCAGGGGACGTGCGTTTTTCACGTGAATTCAACTGCGGATGACCCCCGCCGCTATGGGAATCTTAGAGAGAGTTGAGCCGAAAAGGGGCTGAACATCTACTGTAATCCTTCGATAACACTGGCCCTTTATTTAGAGGGTTGGAGGGGGTGGTGGTGTGGGGTGTGAACATGGTCTCGTACTCCTTCAACTGGAGCCTTCTCTTAGATGTTTAAAACAAAGCAGAATTCTCAAAAAAACATCTATCGAAGCGATCCTGCCTAAAAGGATATCCTACGCCCACTGTTAACGTGGGAGACCGGGCTCATCGGAGACGTGTTCTTTTAAATATGTAAATAAAGTGTAACGTGGGGCGAACTAACAACGCGAACAGAAAGGGCACGACCCCAAGTCGTCTACCCACCCTCCCCCCCCCCGCCTTTCGTTGCTCGATATTGTTTTAAGGGTCGGATAGGGGAGGCTGAGGAATTGTTATTGGTGATGTCCCTGTCCCTAGTGTGGTTCAGTCTGTCTGCTGTCACGTTCCCCTCCCCATGGTCAGACTGTGAAAAGCAGGCTCTGTCTGTGTGGTCTTCGCTAGCGTTTTTCCCAAGGGACCTCACGTTACCCCGCACGGTGTCTTTAAGGCGGAGCCAATATCAGCATTCAAGGTGCAGAAAGGTAACAGCCTTAGAGAGAGAGAGAGAGAAAACACAGACATAGATGTTAATCTGGACTCACCATCACAATTAGCCTGAAGCAATACCGGGGGCGGTGGGGGTTAACTTCAATTAAAGAGGGGCATTAAGATTATTTTTTTCAGCCAGGAGCGAATGAGCTCTGAATTTCCAATAAAAATTGATGGCTGACCTGTATATTAACCATCACACAGCCCCTCTTCCCTCCCCTCCCTCGCAATGCTTATGCAAATAACAGCCACCGCCAACAAACAGTATAGTCTCTGTTACAGTTGCATTTTACTCCGGACTGACAGTGCCTTCACGTTGAGGCGGATCGCTCACGTTTCCCGCGGCGCTGAAGTTGTCAGATCGATCGGTCTGCGGCCAAGCCTGTTTTTGCCTGGGAATCTGCAAACAGTGGTCAGTCCAGGACACTGTGCAATGATCGCAGTGCATGGTCCGATGGGACATCTCCCGCTTGTCTGTTGCCCCCCCACCCCCCAAACCTCAGCTTCTAACTGGATGTGGCCGACTCGAAAGTCTGAGACAATATTTATCACCGCAGACGCGATATAGATAGAAAGGGGCAATCTGCATGTCGGATTTCCAGTCTGACTCGGTGCTGATTGATGGTTGCAATTTTTAATAAAATAAATGCACAACGCAACCGTTTCACCCATTTTTAGCCCATCATCCCTGCAACATTTCATGAGCTATGTTTTAGCGGGGGGCGGGGGGAGGTTGGAATTGAATTACAGTCTTGCTTCACTTCACATGTTCTACTGGGAAGCGTGACCTGAAAAACATATAGGGTGACTTTACGACAATACCCATCAAGCTGCACGATTCACTGAACTGACCAACGCAGAGAAAACAGAAACCCACATGTTGGAATCATCAGTGATCGATTGATAATCAATCACTTCCTGGCATCACATTGTGGGGGGCCCTGTGAGGTGAAGGAGAACTGTTGATACATGCATTTTAAAACATGAACACGCAATATTCCAGTCACGGACTGACGAGTTGTCCTATTTGTTTATTTTAAAATAAAACAACGTTAAATTTAATGTCCTTTCCCCCAACCCGTCTTGTTTTGGAGAGACAGATTAGAGGGATGTGAGCGGCCTCCTGTACACGTGAGTCTCATGTGACTTGAGTTTTTTTTACTGTAAGAGGAAAGACGTGCCTGGAGTCACACGGTTGAACACGTAGCCCTGAACACCCACACGTTCATTAAAGGCAGGCTAGTGTGGTGCAGTAAACTCCGGCTGATCACAGTCAGCAGGATACACTGAAAGAGAGAGAGCTGGGCAGACAGACAGACAAGCCAGACAGATAGGGAGAAGGAAAGCCCCAGTCAGCCAGCAATCACTACACAAAGCAGCGAAATTACTGAAATGGACAGGATCACCGCTGGCCAGCCACCTCCTTGCCTGCCGAAAATCCCAACTTTTGAAAACAACGAGATGCAAGGGTATGCCTCTGAATTTTAATTGTGTTTATTTTGTTCCATCGTGAACCGAATTTGCTCTTTAATTTTGAAAAGAGAAAATTCACTGCCTGAGTTTCAATCTTTTTTTTTCTGCCTCTTTTCCCCCCTCCAGAATGGAATTCTCTCACATGTTTGTTTATAAAGCCAAGAGGGGATTAAAGAGAGGTGACGACAGCAAGGTACAGTGTCCCTTTATCTTCTGTATATGGGCAGTGGTAGCCTTGGGTTTATATCTGGAAGGCGTTTTTAATTGCGGCATTGCAAATCGACCCTTGTTCAGTTACGCGCACTCATGGCAATTACTAACCCACTTTTATTTTTAAAATCTCAGGAAACGTATAAATTACCACACCGGCTGATCGAAAAGAAAAGACGTGATAGGATTAATGAATGCATAGCACAGTTAAAGGACATGCTGCCTGAACATCTCAAACTGACGGTGAGAGAAGCAAATTAAATGTGCTTTGACATAACTGGTTCACAGCATTAAAGACGCCGTTTGTCCTGTCGATTCAATTGTTGAGTGGTGGTGATAGATTATTTATGTAAACCTGCATTATCTCTGTCTGTTTTGCTTTCGAGTAAAATCGAAGATCCAAACGCGTTTGACGAAGGGGAAAGTTCAAAATTTGCTTTGAATAAAAATCAAAGGAAATTAGAATCTTAAATAGATTAAATGGATTGTTTTGGTAGCAGGGGGAGGGGTTGGTGCAGAGAATATGAATTTTTTTTTGCATAATGTACACGCTTGGGATTTCCTAGTTAGTTTCTGCAGTGCTGCTCCTTAGGAGCACCTGCAAAGTGATTCCAGTAAAATGGTTGCAGGAAATATTTCCAATATGCTGTTCAGCCAGCTCCCACTGATATAGAACATTTAACAATTAAAATCAATGTGAGTCTGGATTTTTAGTGATTAGATATTAATTGTCCAGTTATTGGCATTTTTACGGTTGGTTACTATTCAGTTAGTTATTGGAGTTTTTATGGTTAATTATTATATAGTAGTTATATCAATGGTTTTCTTAATGGTTATTTTTGCAGTGAGTTACAAGGCTTCTTAATAGTTGCGTATGCCTTTTGATTTATGTATTTCAGTAACTGAAAATGAGAGGTGCAAGTTGATCTTGTGTGGAACAAACAGGCTTGTCCTCAGCCTGTTTGTGAGTGTGTTTTTGTAGAATGCCACGTCATTTACGCTGTAAGTGATGCGCTCTTGTTAATAATGCACACATCTCGATTTCAGACTTTGGGACATTTGGAAAAGGCTGTGGTACTTGAGCTAACCTTGAAACACGTGAAGGCATTGACTGGCCTCATTGAACAGCAACAACAGAAAATATTAGCCCTGCAGAATGGTTTGCAAATCGGTAAGTTCCCTATTCAGCCTCTGAACATACCAGAAACTATTCATTATTAGTTCCTCTAAAAATTAAATGAAAGACAAGATGTTCGAGTTAGTTTATGCTTTAGATAGGTTTTATTTTAACGTTATGAAAAATTGTCTGATGATATTAACATATTTGCGACATGTCAACTTCTTGCCTCCTCTGGGTTCCGAATCTTTAATTTTAAACCTTGCAACTTGTTGTCATAGTGACAGGGTTGGTACAGTCCAAAATGGTGGTAGGAATGCTGCTGATTTTATTTCTTTTCTCGACAGTTCAGACATTGAGTGTTCCCAAACACGCTATTTTAAAGCTTTTGGGCTGTTTAAGAAATCTGCTTCTATTAATAAAGCACTTTAAGAACTTTAAGTTGCACTGTATCAGAAACCAGACTGACTGCCAATTGTAAACTCTGGTGAGCAAGCTAAAAATGGAAGCCGCTGCATTCTCCAAATTGAATTCTAGATAGACCTGAGATGCAGGCACTGAGAGATGATTGAAACTGAAAAATTCTGCAAAGATCCTGAAGTGTAATTAGAGTGTAGCCTTTTTATTTCTAAGGGAAGGATTTTATGTAGGTCGCCTGGTTTAATGCAGATTTCTTTGCTTCTCAGGTGAACAAACAGCTAAGGCGACTGAGTCAAGCCATGAAATGTTTCAGTCTGGCTTCCAGATGTGTGCCAAAGAGGTGCTGCAATTCCTGGCAAAGCATGAAAACCTGAGAGAGGTGAAGCCTGCGCATTTGATCAATCATCTTCAGAAGATGGGGGCAGACATCCATACTGGGGGATGCATTAACGGGATAGGGCAGACCTCGACACGGTTCCCAGAAGGAGACTTCAGGCCCAAGCCCTTGAGTGAGGCTGAAGGACCTGGCAAAAACTGTGTGCCTGTAATCCAGAGGACTTGTCCGGCCAGTGGTGAGCAGAGCGGCAGTGATACCGACACCGACAGCGGGTACGGCGGCGAGCCTGACAAAAGTGACTCCAAGCACGACCTGGAGAGCCCCAGGGGAGAGAACGAGCTGAAACACCCTTTGGCAGAAAGAATCATCTCCATTAAACAAGAATATGAGGAGCCCCCAGTCAAGAAAGCTCGAATGGAGCTGTCTGAGGAAGACACCCAGATCACTAATGGAGACCTGGCTGTGGGCAGCTTCCTAGGGCATCACGCACCTCCTCTGTGTGTGCCTTTCTATCTGCTGCCTCCGTCTGCAGCTGCTGCATACATGCCCATGCTGGAGAAATGTTGGTACCCAACCTCAATGCCAGTCTTGTATCCTGGGATACCAACATCAGCTGCACTGACTGGCCTGATGAGCCCAGATAAACTCTCCCCTCTCTTGATCCCTCATCGGGGAACTTCACCGGTCTGTGGATCTCCCACAATGGACACGTCTGCTCTGATCCAAGCCCTGAAACAAGTCCCACCCTTGAGTGTAGAAACCAAAGACTGATTTATTTTCCTAAGAGGATCTTTGATCTTGCGTGTTTACATGAAAACAAAATCTCAATTTAAAACTAGTTTGGAAATGGCATAATCCCAGGATTGCTAGTGTTTACAGTTAGAATTGATGCCATTTTCCAACGGTTGTACCCTAAGCTAGTGTAAACAGTTTGAAATGGCTGTCGAGACCATAATCATTCACAGTTGTAGGAAAGGGCAGCAGATTGCTTCAGATGTGAAGCCTTTTGCATAAAATGGCTTAAAGTGCAATGGATTTTTTTTTAAAAAGAGCATTTTATCTTAACCGTTCTTATTTTCCAGCTAAAAAATCTCCAAAGTTTTCATATAGTTTCAGAAGTGTAAATGCACTGTCTGTGAAATGAATGTAAATGGTGAAATTATAGATGCTGCTTAAGCTTTCTGCTGTAATAATAGCCAAGGAACTGACTTGTGCCCTTCCTAAAGCACTGATATGCTGCTAAAAGACCCCACCCAGTCTAAAAGCACCAAATATTAAATGTAACTGCTTCTGTATATACCTGTGTTTTTGCAGGATTGATAAGTCAGTAGTAACTATCCTTACAGGCTCTTAAAGGGGATGTTGAGTGGTAATGGTGACCATGCGTATGAGCGAGTGATGTATGAAATGCTACTTTAAATATGTCAGCATGTTGTTTTGAGGGAAATGAGAACTTGCTGTAAATTTTTGTGTTAAGTGAGAATGATGAACAGGTCAAAGTTTAGAGAATGCCAAAGTCACTACTGGATAGCCTCTTTAACGCACAATGCTTCAACAACTTGTGATTTAAAAATGATGAACTTTCTTTTTGCCATTTGTAAAAGATGTTGCCTTTCGGGTTCTGACATCTGGTAAAGGTCTGCTGGTTAACCCTTCTATTTGTGTAAATACTGGAATGCAGAAAATATGAGAAGGTTGAATGTAATGTTTTGAAAAAAAAAAGATGAAGATTAGTTTTGTATAGGGAGAGGTAAACAGACTATTTTTGGAAACTTACAGCAAGATGGACTATTGTACATATTTTGTTTATACATAAATGTTACTATTCGTTTAAAAAATGATTAATAAAATATTTTTCCTGTGGAATTGTGTATGTACAATTAAGAAGTTGTGAGAGCTTATATTTGCTCAATTAATCAAATAGCTAGTAAAAAAAAATTGCAGCAAACCTGTTTACCCATTTAGCCATATTAGTTAATATATTCTGAACCAGTACATCATTATGGAAACAGACAAATAACTAATGTACTTAAGAAATAGCTGAAAAATCTTTAAAACATCTGAAGCCACATACTGTAACATTACATAATCATGTACTGTGAAAAGTCAGATGACATAATTCAATTCAATTTGAGTACATCGTTTTTCCATTTTTAAATATAACAATGAATTTAAAAGTTTCGCAGTATATATTTAAGGGGGCTAGGAGATTATTCAGTGCTTATTACAAATTGCATTGTAATCTTCAGCCTGTGAAGAATTTTGGTTAGGAGCAGGACTAGGCCACTTTACTGCTCTACAAAGTAGTATTGCATGAGAATGTACTCAACAAAAAAAAATGGGATTTTGAAGAGGATACAGGAAAGTATAACTGGAATGGAGCACTAAGGTTTGGGGTGTCTGTATTCTTTATATTTATTTACAATACTATTCACTCTCTATTTGGTCCAATTTTAAATATCACTGGCTTCACAAATAATATCGTCTCAAAAGTATATAAATAAACTTATAGCATTGTTATTATCCCATTTTTATTTCTAGTTGTATCTAGCCATATAGATGGACCTAGTTTCACATTGGATTCAGTACTCGGAAGCAGGAAATGAAAAGACACTTCAGAGTGGTGACAGTCAGAAATTCGTCAATTTTGATAACACTTTCAGACCAAGTGCAGCAAGATATAAATCATAAGGGCTTGTGACTCACGCTGGATGAAACTGGAGCTAGAAATTCAACCCCTCTTGGGACGTTTTAACTCCTTACTAATTCAATAGGTCACTACAGTATAACCTATGCCATAATAGCTTGTGTTTATAAATATTTTTAACCAATCTGTTCAGACGTGCTATGATGCACCTCTGGAGCAGGTGGGATTCGAAGTGGAGACTAGAGATAGGGAGGCTATCATTGTTCCAAAAGAACTTACCAAGTTGTATTTATGTGCTGTTTTTCGTGTGGTAAAAATGGTCTAGAAAACAAGACCAATTCGGAAGCACTGGTTCAAATTGTAACATTAGGAGCTGAAGAATGTTTGAAGCTAACATTGGGAGTTCTGACTTGATACAGGGTCTCAATTTAAAGATGTATTTTACTGCAGACATCGAATCTGGAATGTGGGGTAACTGCTACACCATAGAATCCACCAGCAGTTTTGATATTATTTTGGTTGAAGCTTCTAATTCTGGTGCGATTAAACCTTGGGGCCCGGAGTTAAAAGTTGGCAGTTCTTTTTTTTGCCTCAGTGTGTGGATCACTCTGGGCCTAGGCAGCTGTCTGCCGGCAATAGTGATAGAATAGGTGTCCTCAGAATAGCGAGAAGTCCTTTAAAGGTGAAGGGCGGGGGAGATTTATATATTAAAAAAAAACAGCCTGTCCCACAAACTACACTGTCAGGCAGGCAATAAACAGCCTCTCTGCTCCTATGATGCTGCTTGGCCTGCTGTGTTCATCCAGCCCTGCACCTTGTTGTCTCGGATTCTCCAGCATCTGCAGTTCCTACTATCTCTGACCCAATTGACAGCTGTTCACATCATGGCCTGGATTATCCCAGGCTGCCAGCAGAGTGAGAGAGGGAAAGTGGAGAGAAAGGCCAACTGAATATTAAAAATCCTTGGGCAAGTGTGCGTTAACAGGTCAGGTAGTTATATTTCGTTTTATAAAATAAAAGAGCCATTTGCTTATTGACTGAGTAGCAGCATTAAGTTCCTTGCAGACTGTGGACGCCCTCTGCTACTTCAGCAGGTTCCACTGGCAGGACTGACAGTACAAATACTGACTGGTGAGGAGTGAATGTGCACCGGGGAAGTGGCGTTTGCAGTTGCTTCGCTGGTGAAGATTGCCTTTCATTGCGGTTTGTGGAGGAGCGAAGGAATTCAGGAGGAACCTACAAGGATTAGAATTCCTACTTGAGCTTTATGTGTGTGTGTGGAGAGAGGCTGCTCATTAAAGAAAAGCTAGATCACGCTTTATCCGTGTTTGCATTGCAGCAGGACCCTCCCACACTGCCCCGGATCAGTTTGGGAAGTGCTGATCTTGTGCCCGGCTCCACATTCTTTCTCAGTGAAGGAGCCTCATTTAATCGTGACCCTGCTGTCCCAGCCCCTCCAATGTCACGTTTCCGGCTCAAGTTCTTCATGTGTAAAGCCTGACTAAATAAAGACCGCAGCCTGGCTTCTTGGAAAAGACGTGCTTTGGCAGCGGTTCAAGATCGCCCAATGCCACACTGCAAACCCGCGACTTAGCAACTGGAGATCTTCCTCCCGCAAACACACACACACCAACACGTCACTGACATTATCATATAACTGCTCTCAGGGCATTCGAGATTAATAGATTCCAGTCTGAACTGGACATTGATCTGTGTTTTATTTTTTTGTTGGCGTTGTTCTTGAAGCGTACAGAGTAGAGCAGGCTTCAGTATAAATAGTAAACACAGACTGCTACTGAATATGTGCACATCACATTGTAGGAATAGGCACAGCATAGTCTGTATGCGCGAACACAACAGTCTGTGTGTGTGTGTGTATGAACAGGGTAGTCTCCCAGATGTGAACAGAATTATGTATGTGAGAGACCAGATTGGTCTCTGTGTGTGAGAGAGAGACTAGAAACTGTGTGGGTGTGTGAAAGACTGAGTGTGTGTGAGAGAGAGACCAGGATAGTCTGTGTGTGAAAGAGAGAGACTGTGTAAGTAAGAGTGAGAGAGACCATGATAGCCTGTGTGAGAAAGAGAGAGGGGCCAGGATAGCCTGTGTGTGTGTGTTTGTGAGGGAGAGGGAGAGAGACCAAGATGATCGGTTGTGTGAGAGAGAGAGACCAGGGTAGTCTGTGTGTGTGAGAGAAAGACTAGGATAGTATGTGTGTGAGTCAGAGAGACCAGGATATTCTGATTGTGTGTGTGAGAGAGACCAGGATAGATTGTATGTCTTTTTGTGAACAAAATACTTCCTGAGCAGGATATTGTGTGTGTGTCTTAACAGGATTGGTTCTATATGTGTGAAGAGGGTAGTTTGTATGAACAGGATAATCTGTTTGTGTGAACACATCAGGTTTGTGCGTGCACAGGATAATCTATGGGAATGATTGGATTGTTTATATGAACAGGATTGTTTCTGTGTGAAAATGCTATTCAGAGTGTGTGAGAGAGAAAGTGAACAGTGTGAGAACAGGATAATCTCTGAGAATATGAGTATGGCAAACTATGCATGAACAGGAAAATCTGGGTGAACAGGCTCATTTGTGTGTGTGTGTGTGTGTGTGTCTGTGCGTACACGAGGGCAAGAAATAAAACAGAATAATCTGTTGATATGTACAGGATCATCGGTGTGTACGGTCATATTCAGTGATTCTACGTGTGGTACAATATTTTGTGTATTTGTGGATAGAGGTATCTGTGTACATGCGCTTGTGTTTGTTTGTGTTGTTGGGCACCATATTGAAAATACACACATAACGTATATTTACAAACAGGATGGTCTCTATAATTGGATACTGAAAACAATTGCATTTGTGGTGAATTATTCTACCAGTATGGCCGCCTTAGTCTATATATGTATCAGAAAGTGTCTCCACAGTCTATACAGTCTCTATATGGAAACAATATTTACATAGGAGGATACAACATTATGTGTTGATATACAGCATGTAGTTGTAGAGTCATTGAGTTGTACAGCACGGAAACAGACCCTTTGGTCCAACTCATCCATGCCAACCAGCTATCCTAAATTAATCTAGTCCTATTTGCCAGCATTTGGTCCATGTGCTTCTAAATGCTTCCTATTCATATACCCATCCAAATGCCTTTTAAATGTTGTAATTGTACCAGACTCCACCAACATTTTATGCAAAAAATGAGATGACCTTGTGTGTATGTTTAGTAATAGTAGTCTGCTTTGTATGCACGCAATAATGCATTTATATGTGGAATAAAACCAATTGTCTGTATATGTAGACATTATTCTGGGTCCATGTCAGCGTAATTTTCTGCGTATACATGGACATCGCTGGTAATGATGGCTTTGTTCCTGCAAACCATGTTTAGAGGAGAGGAGTCAAAGCTGGTGCAATGCTTAACCTTATTGCAGAGCAGCTACTGTATCCTCCAGAAACCGGTTTCTATTCGGTATGGGAAATTACCAACTATTACGGGGACTGCATGATCTGTCATAGGAACATTGCAGAATTAGAGATAAATCTTTTTCCATATGTGGACATAGTATACTGTGTATCTTCAAAACACAAGAATAAAGTAGTTCCAGTTCATATTGGCATAGTGTTCTCTATATGCAGCATCCTCAGTATCTTGGGGATAAAGCATAAGGTAAGGGGACATAAAGGATAAGGACTTCCTGCAGATAACAAAAAAATGGATACTGCTTCTAGGTAACTCTACTATGTAAGACAAGACTGTGGAATCAGACTGGATGAGTCAATGCAAAAAATCATGGGGTTTAGGACCAACCACACAAGTACCTGGATTTGCAGGTAGCAAATCAGCAGATAATGAGTGTACACATAAGTGTGATAATCACTGAATGTGGCATATTGATTTGTAATTGTAGGAATTAATATTCTATCTATAGGACACAATTTCCTTTTTTTATGCACAGTATTCTAGTTATAAGATGATCCTATACACTGTTTATATGTGTTTGTCATATTGCGTATATATCTTGGCAGAACAGCTGACGTAATTGTGGCAAGGACAGAGCTTTTATATACAGGCGCAATAGTCTGTGTATTCAACATGTCAGCCTCTGTAAATGTGAGCATTATCATCTCAGTAAACATGACCATGGCAATCTGCAAATAGGTGGATATAATCACTGTGTGTGTATATGTGTATGGGTACAACGATCTGTGTA